AACTCAGAAGTAACACGCTCTGTTACTTCCGGGTCGCCGTGGAGCGCAACCCGAAAATGCTCAACCTGGAGCATATTTAACCTGAGGTATGACTGTATTCCTGGGACGCGGGTGGCGCTGTGGGTTAAACCATAGAGCCTAGGACTTGCTGATCAGAAGGTCGACGGTTTGAATCCCTGGGATGGGGTGAGCTCCCATTGCTCGGTCCCTGCTCCTGCCAACCTAGAAGTTTGAAAGCACATCAAAGTGCAGGTAGATCAATAGGTACCACTCCAGCAGGAAGGTAAACAGCGTTTCCGTGCGCTGCTCTGGTTCGCCAGAAGCTGCTTAGTCATGCTGGCCACATGACCCGGAAGCTGTACGCCGGCTCCCTCGGCCAATAAAGCGAGATGAGCACCACAACCCCAGAGTCGGCCACGACTGGACCTAATGATCAGGGGTCCCTTTACCTTTACCTATGACTGTATTACATTTGTAAGTCCATTACTTCTCCAGGGAGCTCAAGACAGCACACATTATTCTTATCCCTGTTCTGTTTACTTCTGAAAACAACCCTTTGCAGCAGGCTATGCTGAGAGATGGTTTGTTGCAATCTAAAACATCTGGAGGGCACCATGTTGGCAAACTATGCCATAAAGGCGAGTATTCCCACCAGGAAGACTAAACTGTTCCTTCCTGCCTTCCCCATTTCTTTCTGCTACTTCTCTGCCGGGCATAGCTAGCCCAAAGCTTGTGAATGAGCTCCCTGGCTGCAAATGGCGGCAGAGGTGGCTCTCCAGCATTAAGGGGAGATGAGGGCTCTCATTTAGCAGCAGCAGGAACAGCCAGCTTTCTGGGACTCAGTGAGTCTACGCATCAAAGGTGCGAATTAAAATGCAAGCCACACTTCCCTGCTTGCGTTCAAGCTACTTCGTTATGAGAGACGTTCGCCGAGAGAAGAAGAAAACGTGCCCCAAGAAGGAGATCTGCCTCATGTCTGCTTAATGAGTGCATAAACACTGTGCCGTTATTGAATTTTAATTGACTCCTTTGTAGCGTTGTGCTATAAAAAAAGTAGAAAACTACACATAATGAGCTATTATACTTGGCACGACAAAGGGGGGAAAGGTACTTAAGGGACGCTCAGTTCTTTAGAGAAAAATAACGGCAACTACAATTGGAGGTGTGAGAAGGGAAGGAAGCTCACTGCAGTCTAAATGCAATAGTTCTTTCTTCCAGGGAACAATGTCATGGCGGCTGGATGCACACACAAAAATTGCCTAGGCACCTGAAGAGATGGGGAGCTTTCATGGGATGGCAATGTCTTAAAACAGGTTTGCCCCCCAAGTAGAAAAACCCAATGTATTCAGTGGGGCTTACTCTCTGCATACCCTCCAACACTTCTCCAACATGAAAATAAGGGCATCCCATTCCATGATACTTTTATTATTTATACCCCACACATCTTACTGGGTTGCCCTAGGTACTCTGGGCAGCTTCCAACAGATATAAAAACATAATTAAACATTAACAAAACTTTCCTATACAGTGGTACCTCTGGTTAAGAACTTAATTCGTTCTTTAGGTCTGTGCTTAACCTGAAATTGTTCTTAACCTGAGGTACCACTTTAGCTAATGGGGCCTCCCGCTGCCGCGTGATTTCGGTTCTCATCCTGAAGTAAAGTTCGTAACCTGAGGTACTACTTCCGGGGTAGTGGAGTCTGTAACCTGAAGTGTTTGTAACCTGAGGTACCACTGTACAGGATTGCCTACAGATGGCTTGGGGGTAAGATAACTGCCATAACCTCCAACATTTCTCCAATGAAAATAGGGACATCCTAAGTAAAAGTGGGACATTCCAGGATCAAATCAGAAATTGGGATGGCTTCTCTAAATGAGGGATGTCCCTGGAAAATAGGGGCACTTGGAGGGTCTGTCCCTGGTAAGTGTGCTTAAGGTGGAAGCCTTACTTTCTAAAGTTACTTAGCATGAGACAAGGAAGCAGATTGACTATATGGAACTGGCGGAAATGACTGGCAGAATCCGAGACCAGGGAGATGAGTCGGTGGAAGAAGATTGGAAGAAATTTAAAGACTATTTACAGAAATATTGTAAAATTAATGAATGTTAGAACGATGTTGGATAGAAACCAAGTGGTTTTTAGCTGCAATACTATAAGGGAATATGAAAAATGGATTACTAAAAAGGTAAAGATTTAATGTTACAATATTTTAAGATTAAAGATTAGGATAAACAAAGAGGGGAAGGATTTGCTGAACCAACAAACTGAATTGGAATACAAAAAAGGGAGGCGTGAGGAGGTCCAGGAAACAAGCTAATGAAAAATAAGTAATGGAAAGATTGAGCTGTTTTTAATTATTTTTATTTTGTATTTTTCTTTTTTCTATTTTTCTTTTGTAATACTTTGAAAATCTTAATAAATATCTTTAAAAAAAAAAAAGACAAGGAAGCAGTCACAGGGAATGAAAGCCTAGTCCTACATTTCATTGCTAGCATCAGCTGAGGGAGTTCGGCAAGGACACAAAGCACTTTTACTACTGTGGCAAATGAAAACACAGCTGCGGGGCTACATTGGCAGATTGTACCCAGTCCGTCTCAAGAATGCAACCCTGGACATGTCTACCCAGAAGCAAGCCCCACAAATTTCAGTGGGACTTATCTCCAAGTAAAAGATTGTGGGATTGCAGCCTAAATGGTACCCCAAGTCGTGTCAGCAACTTAGACCACAATCCAACTAAAGCGAGGCACTTTTAAATTCCGATGATTCCAGTGAGAGAAACCACCAAATTCTTCCACCAAAATGGCGACTTTAAAAGCTCCTAACTTTGGCTGGGTTGTGGCCTTGTAAATTCTGTACTTTTTGTAGGTCTGTAGAATAATAAAGCATATTCATTCATGGTGTGAGTTTTCTATTGTCAAAACCCACAGAGATTTAGGACATGTTTGCGTGTTAGTTGTTTATTGTGGGCCATTCCGTGTGTGTGTGTGTGTGTGTGTGTGTGTGTGTGTGTGTCTATATTTTCTTCTCCTTGTAAACTTGCTAACCTTTGTGGTGAGAGGATTGTTGCAGATCAACTTAATAAAACCAAAGCTTTCAATCAACAAAATCACAGCCCCCCTACTTCCACCTCAATCCTGAGGGCACGATCCCTTTCCACATAAGAGAACACCTGCCCTGCTTCCAGAGGGCTGCTCTTTCATTTGTTCGCCCATCATCATAACTGGAATTTAAAATGCTCAGCCATTCGCAAGTGCTAGCTCATTTGAATTTAAATCGGTCTGCATCTGTGGCTAGCCAGGCCTGCCGCGAAACTATCCAATTAAAACCAGAAAACTTGGGCCCTCAAAGTGACTGTAAAAGTGCAGCAAAATCCATTGCTACTGCCCAGACTAGGGAAAAGAGATAATAATTTTAAACGTCGTTAGGACCTCTCCAACACAGCCGGTCTTGTAAAAGGTTTTGATCAAGGCAGTGCCAAGGGGGACGGACTCGGAAAGTGCCGCTGTACCTTTCTCATCCTTCGTCGTTTCTTGTTTTACTTTATTTTTTTGTCTACAAAGAATTCCTTCCTCCCCAAAAAAACACGGCAAAAAGGTTTGCCTTGGAAAGAGTCGAATCCATCTATTAGTGCCTAGTCAAGGAGCCCGGAGGAGAAATGTCAGGGCGAAGTAGGTCAGTTATTAAATCACCCCCAAACCAGCCCTGTCAAGGGCTGGGAAGGGAGCCAGGTTATTGAACGAACAGTTTTGGGAGGGGAAGAGGGGACACACAGAGCAGGAGCACGTAGGAGGAAAATCAAGGTTACTTCCATCTTCAATAATGTCTCTGCCCACCTGCAGTCAGAAGACGAGGGTTGCCTGTAGTATATAGCTGACATTTTGCAGCAGTGAAATGGAAGGTCCAAAAGGCAAATGGTATATGAAGGCAGTTTTTATTTTAACAAGGAAGCTCACCTACAAGATGTGAGGTAAGTGCTTTCAAACTCCCCAGAGTAATCATTAGAGGCTTCTTCAGACTTGGCTTGAAGTTTTGGATACACAGAAAGACTTGGGGGAAATTTGCCTGCTTTCAACAAGGGTATGTGTGTGTGAAGACTGGTTTGCACTGGTGCTGCAAACTGGAAGACGTGGACCGCTCAGCACTTAAAGCAAAGACATGTTTGCAAGCACTATGTACAGTGGTACCTCGGGTTAAGTACTTAATTCGTTCCAGAGGTCCGTACTTAACCTGAAACTGTTCTTAACCTGAAGCACCACTTTAGCTAATGGGGCCTCCCACTGCTGCCGTGCCACCGGAGCACAATTTCTGTTCTCATCCTGAAGCAAAGTTCTTAACCTGAAGCACTATTTCTGGGTTAGCGGAGTCTGTAACTTGAAGCATATGTAACCCGAGGTACCACTGTATTGTGTGGTAATTACCTCACAGATGTTACTTGGAGTAACAACACCAAGTAACATGGTCCGCAGGTGCTCAGAACACTCCGGAACTTTCTGGTCTTGCCCCACACAGGATGCCTCTGTGGTTTCTCTCACCATACTCCCATACTGTCCAACATTTCTCCAATAAAAATAGGGATGTCTTATTCCACAATAACAACTTTATTATTTATACCCTGCCCTTCTGAATGGGTGGCTTCTAACATTACATATATAACATTTTTAAGAAACACTTCCCTCTACAGGGCTGCCTTCAGATGTCTTCTAAAAGTTGTAGAGTTACTTATCTCCTTGGTTCAGGGGTCACAATAACTCCATACCCTCCAACGTTTCTCTGATAAAACTAGGGATGTCCTAAGGAAAAGCGGTACATTCCAGGATCAAATTGGAAACTGGAACAGCTTCTATAAATCCAGGACTGTCCCTGGAAAATAGGGACACTTGGAAGGTGAGTACTCCTTCCTTGGTCTAGCCTACTGTATGGCAAAATGAGAATACACAGCCTTGGCCAACCTGGTGTCCTCCAGATGTTTTGGGCTACTGCAATCCACATCAGCTCATAGATGATAGATATAGATAGATAGATAGATAGATAGATAGATAGAATCTATATCTATCTATCTATCTATCTATCTATCTATCTATCTATCATCTATCTATATCAAGTACAAAGTGTTTCTATCCACCGTAATAAACCATGACGGTTAAGCCATTCTCCTGGTCATCTCAGCAGTTTGGTTATGAAGACGGGCACCTTTGACCCAGGAACTAGTAGGGATTTTTTTTTTTTTAAGTAAGAAGGTGAAGAAAAGTTTGGACTTGATATCCCGCCTTCCCTTAAGGAGTCTCAAAGCAGCTAACATTCTCCTTTCCCTTCCTCCCCCACAACAAACACTCTGTGAGGTGAGTGAGGCTGAGAGACTTCAGAGAAGTGTGACTAGCCCAAGGTCACCCAGCAGCTGCATGTGGAGGAGCGGGGAAGCGAACCCAGTTACCCAGATTACGAGACTACCGCTCTTAACAACTAAACCACACTGGCTCCGCAGGGCAGCTTGGGGAAGAGGAGAAGGAATGAGGGGCAGCAGGGGAAAGGGAAAGAAGGGCTGCAGTGCTACCACCACAAAGAGGAGGGGATGGGGGGAAGTGTGGGCAGCGTCCAAACCACAGTAAGGGTCCCCTGATGTCTGGTGCCAACCCTGACAGACACAAAATTATATGCATCCTCCTCACTAAAGAGTGTGCCCTCCCTGCTCTAAAGATCCAAATATCTGAAAAGTCTCTTTAAGCCTTATAACCGAACCGATACCACTTCTTTCCATGGTTGAAAACACCCCTTCCCTGTCTGTTCCAAGAGGCAGCTGAAGCAAGAATCCTTATAGCTCCTGCGTCAGCACAGCAGACTCTCCGGAGGGGTGGCAGTGCTGCCTTTACAATATTGCACCTGTGTAAATCCCACTCAGGAGAAGAGTTGGGTGGGGTTTGCAAATGAGCAGTTTACAGAGCTGAGCCAAACAATTTTCGGGAGACATTTTTCTATTAAAAGGAAACAGAGGTCCGCACTGCAGAATCTCTATTGTGTTTTTTGTGTGTGAGGCGGCCTCGACTTCAGTGTCCTAGAACAATGCTAGGTTCGGCGCATAGTGGAGGGTGCAAAGGGAAGTCAGGGTGCCAGCACAGTGTAACGAACATCAGCCCACACAAAATAATATTATCAAACCTTTGAGGCAATCAGAAGGAAGTTGCTGCGCTACTGCATAGGGACGTTTTTACGTTTGATGTTTTGTTGTGTCTTTCATATTTTGGTGGAAGCAGCCTAGAGTGGCTGGGGCAACCCAGTCAGATGGGTGGCATATAAATAATAATAATAATTACTATTATTATTGCTACTGCCACCACTGATGGTGAGCCCTAACCCTGAAGCACCGTTAGCGAATTTCTCCTCCCGCTGGAGAATTTGGGCAAAATGGTTTCCCCTACTTTGTCTGCCCAGCAACAGGATGGCGAATGTTGAGGGTTCGTTTATGCACGACTCTTGATATCCCAAATAGGGAGGTGGCAGGTACCCAGTGGTCTGCTTCTCCTCTGTGAAACAGCAGCCGTTATCCCCCTCCTCAAGTCCTTCTGCTACCGCAATATTGTTGAGACTCCCTTGGGAAATTTGAAATGTTATTTTTGTTTAATCCTACTCTCTTCTTTTCCTGCTGTACGCTACTTCTGTTTATCTCCTCTCCATCTGCTCCTCATCAGAAATAGTAGGTGAAGCACGATGCCAATATTAAAAAAATACAGGCAATTAGCCAGCCCTGCCACCCACTCGTACACCTCTAATTATAGTCTGGGAGCAGAAGGAGCCCCACAAGTTGAGCTCTGAATCTATTTTATTAATGAGGTAAAGATATTATGCTATCAAGCGTCCTGGAACGAAGAAGTGTATGGTCAGATACATGGCAGAAGAAAACAGAGTTCCTCTTCACTCTTGGGTCTTGTCCCGGCCTACCACTGAAATGCAGCCCCACAGACCTTTCCACTGAGGTTTTCGGGCTAGACAGATGTTCCTTGTCCCTGACAATTTAAGATTTGGGGTGTGTGCGTGCATATGTGTCTCATTTTAGGCCTCCGTGACTTGACCAGCGATTAACTGATTATCATGGAGCTCCAGTTCAGACCCTCCAAGTGTCCCCTGTTTTCCATGGACAATCTCGGATTTACAGAAGCCACCCCAGCTTCTGATTCGATTCTGGACTGTCCTGCTTTTCCTTAGGACGTCCCTATTTCCATTTGAGAAATGTTGGAGGGTATGGAATAGGCTGTCCCCAGGGCTTTTATTCAGCTGGAACATTCCGGAACTCAGTGCTGGCACCTCTCAGGTGGGCGCCATTGCCATTCTAAGAGAATGAGGGAGGCGTTCACACTGAGCTCCAGCACCTCTTTTTCCACACATACAAGCACTGGACATTGCTTTTTTCTTCGGACAGAGGGCCTTCTCGGTAGTGGCGCCCGCCCTGTGGAACACCCTCCTTTCAGATGTGAAGGAAATAAGTTGCTATCTTCTCTTTAAAAGACATCTGAAGGCAGCCCTGTTTAGGGAAGTTTTAAATATTTAATGCTGTATTGTTTTTAACACTCGATTGGAAGCCGCCCAGAGTGGCTGGGGAAACTCAGCCAGATGGGCGGGGTATAAATAATAAATAAATTATTATTATTATTATTATTAGGAAAAATGTTGGAGAGTATGAATAGGATGTCCCTCTATTATTATTATTATTATTATTATTATTATTATTATTATTGGTTTTCACATATTACATTACAATACAGATGAACCAAAGCCAACACCATTCCAAGTGATCTATTTTCATTGTTCTCAGAGATTTCTCTGCATGAAATACTTCGCTGGCATTCTATCTGTGCATCTCCACTCTATTTTAAACTCTGCCTGTTGGCCATAGCAACCCAGGAAGCTTCCTTGTACCGAGTCAGGACATTGGCCCATCTAGGCTCAACACTATCTATGCTGCCTGGGAGCAGCTCTGTAAGGTTTCAGACACAGACCTTTTCCAGCTGTTCCCAGGGATGCTAAGGGTTGAACTCGGGACCTTATGCATGCAAAGAACAGGACAAGGTCAGCGAGGATCAGGGAGGACAAAAACCTCCCGTGGAGCAGAAGGGAAAACACTCGCTTGACCCTAGCACAGCTCCCTTGAGTCCTTAGGAGCTCTACATACCAAATAGTTGCTTTGGGGTGGAAAAAATATGTGCATTAATCATGCCGTAGCTAGTTTGTCTTATTGAGGGATCCAGTATGGAAAGAGCCTATTTGTGTGATTTGGGATGAAGAGGCTAGAGGCTTCAAAAGCTAGGGTAATAAATAATCAAGGTGCTACTGTTCAGTGTGTCCTGAGAATTCACAGAGTTCGACAAAAGTGAGTTGAGGGCAGGTTCAGGGATTAACCAATGAGTAGTGATGATGCGGATGGCACTGTGGGTTAAACCACAGAGCCTAGGACTTGCCGATCAGAAGGTCGGCAGTTCGAATCCCTGCGATGGGGTGAGCTCCCGTTGCTCGGTCCCAGCTCCTGCCAACCTAGCAGTTTGAAAGCACATCACAGTGCAAGTAGATAAATAGGTACCGCTCTGGCGGGAAGGTAAACAGTGTTTCTGTGCGCTGCTCTGGTTCACCAGAAGCGGCTTCGTCATGCTGGCCACATGACCCGGAAGCTGTACGCCATCTCCCTCAGCCAATAAAGCGAGATGAGCGCCGCAACCCCAGAGTCGGTCCCGACTGGACCTAATGGTCAGGGGTCTCTTTACCCTTTACCTTTAGTGATGATGGAAAGGGACAGGCCAGTTAGGTATCAATGGCAGAAGTAGCTATATAAAGGTTAAGCTTCTTGAGGGGAATGGAGGTCTCTTAACCCTCAGCACCCTTGACAAGCTACACTTCCCATAACTATTCAGGGGAAACTGAGTGTCTAAGGTGGTATGGTAGTGGTTTAAATGTATAGCATGGATGGGACCTTATCTTCCCTTTTGCATTTTGGCAAAATGTTGTGTGTGAAATAGAACAGGCATGCCTTTTGCTTCTCATCATGAATAAAAATATGAATATTTTTTAAAAATCCCATCTCATCTTTAAAGCTGATTAAAAGTACTTCAAAGCATTATTAACAGCTATTATTCCAGTATGGAAGAGTTGTGCTGCTAACTAATAAAGTTGTCCCTTTTGTTAATGAGACAATTGCGTCTTTGCTGAGGGCTTTCTCTGTAAAAAGAACCACACGCCTTTTCCTAGGCTCTGCAGAGACTTCAGTTGGCTTAATTCCCAGAAACCGAATGCCTAGGGCTCGAGCTATTGTAAAGATGACACCTTTCTATGCAGTGATTGTGCTCTGCTTTTCCTGAACGATTCAGGCTTCTGTAATAATAATTTCACCCTCAGCAGCAGAGAGTACAAGGGTGCTTCTCGTAAAACAATCTGTGACGAAAGGTGCAGAGTTAAATTATACGTCCCAGTGTTTAGGGAAAGTGGCAAAAATGGCAGGCCCTGAGACTGGTAAAGCTGCAGGATTTTGAAGTACGGTTTATTTTACTGGATTGTACCCTTGAGACTACAATCCAGTAAAATAAACTGTACTTCTTCAAAATACTGGAGCTTTACCAGTCTCAGGGCCTGACATGGGTGGTGCTGTGGGTTAAACCACAGAGCCTAGGACTTGCTGATCAGAAGGCTGGCGGTTCGAATCCCCACGACGAGGTGAGCTCCGGTTGCTCAGTCCCTGCTCCTGCCAACCTAGCAGTTCGAAAGCACGTCAAAGTGCAAGTAGATAAATTGGTACCGCTCTGGCAGGAAGGTAAACGGTGTTTCCGTGCACTGCTCTGGTTCGCCAGAAGTGGCTTAGTCATGCTGGCCACATGACCCAGAAGCTGTACGCCGGCTCTCTCGGCCAGTAAAGTGAGATGAGCGCCGCAACCCCAGAGTCGGCCACGATTGGACCTAATGGTCAGGGGTCCCTTTACCTTTTACCCTTGAGACTGTGTGTGTGTGTGTGTGTCAGATTTTTTAATGTCATTCCCCACAAAAAGAAAAATTGGGGGAGTTCTCTTTGCCTACACATAGAACATTAGCACCCACACAGCCCTTTCCCCAGTGC